CACACACACACACACACACACACACACACACACACACACACACACACACACACAGACTTGACTCTTTGTGGAAAAACAAGAGTTAGAATTTGCATTCAAAGCAGGGCTGAACAATTTTGAAAAAGAAAGCAATTGCAATGTTTTTCTGACTCTGTATTGCAATTGCGATTTAATATGTGATTTTTTTTCAAGGACCTATTCCTGTGTATTCTTTTTTTAAACAAACAAAAAGCAAGAAATAATCTGCATTGCATTGCAGTTAAAAAAAAACAAAAAAAACTGTATTTATTGATCTATCCAAAAATGACGGCCAACCCGCCATGAATTAAAGTGAAAGACAGTTCAACTACTTTGTTTGGAGTTACTAACTCACTAAAGACGTTGACTTAAGAGTCTTACGATGCGACCTTCCGAAAATTAACCTCGAACAAGTTGGCCGTACTGGCAGAAGTCAGTAAGTCGGATGAGAGCAATCACGGAAACAAATTTGTGACTTGATCACTTCAACTGTTTCATGAGACAAGGTGTCAACTGCACTTTTGAAACGCTGAACTGATCTAGACATGATATATCCATCCATTATCCAAGCCGCTTATCCTCACTTGGGACCATTTCCGATTGTTCCGGTCAATCTGCCATGCATGTTTTTGGAAAGCGGGAGGAAACCGGAGCACCCGGAGAAAACCCACGCAGACTGCACACAAGAAGGCCGAAGCACGAATCGAACCTCTGCACTGTGAGGTCGACGTGTTAACCGGTCGACCGCCGTAACGCTGTATAAAAAAAAAACAACAAAAAAGGAAATATCTTTTCAAAACGTCTAACGGCCAACAAACGCGAAGCCGTTTTCTTGCCCAAAACTGCAACCTTTGCGATTTGAAAATGCAGTGCAATGTCGACTTGAATTCAATTCATCGCTCGATTAAAAGCCGCCTTTATTTCGCCGACGTGTAAAATAAATGCAAGCGAAAAAAATAAAATAAAAATGAACCGAGTGATGATGACAGCGGCGCTCAAATTAAATGAAAGCAAAAGCTAGGCGAGCACGTTTTGCCCAGTACGGTGTGTGAGTGCTTTTTGACACCTTTGGCTCCAAAGAAATTGCCCCATCGCAGGCACTTGATCATCACTGTTGCATAAAAAAAAAAAGAAATGAAAAAAAAAGACTTCTTTCCGTATTTCAAGAAAAACTAGAAAAAAATGGCTGTGAAATGTTACCGCCACACGGCGTCAAAGTCGAGGATCATCCACAGGATTTGCAATGAAAACGGGGTGCGAGGGTGCGCTGATCACTCTTGAAGGCTTTTGTTTTGCTCTGCTCCAAACGACAAAACCTTCAAAGTCTCCAAAACATTTTTTTTAAATCACTTTTCTCTCTTTGAGTAATTTTTACAAGCCGACTTGTATTTCTTGACTTTAAAATCTTTTGATAGTCTTCTGCTAATGTCTTGAAACGTTGTCAATGTACGTTCTTTTTTTGGTAAGCTATGTTGATTGTTCCTGCTTTGCTTCTTAAATATCTTTAGGCGTCGTCTTCGTAAATGCTTGTGGGTGTTCTGTCAAGCGCATTGATTTGTACGCATAAAAGACAGCTGACAAAAATGTACCAAAAAGGCCTTTTGGTGTGCCGGCTTGATGATTTCTAAACATAACCTCCCAACCCCCACCCATAAAAAAGGGTCCTGGACACAAAAGCCATCAAATAAAAGAAAGCAGAAATCACATGATGGAGAATCAGAACAGCTGAGGGGAAGAAAGAGAAGAAGGAATGGAAAGAGAGAAGTTGTCGCCGTTGCTTAACAAGGCGCACTCGGCAACGTCCGCTCACCGAACCATGTTGGCGCCGTCACAGCGTCTCGGTCAGACGGCGACAAGAGTGAAGGCCGGACAGGAGGCCTGGCACCTGCGCAAAAGCATCCGTTTGAGATCTCATTATGCAAAAAAAAAAAAAGCAAAAAACAAACAAACAAAAAAAAAAACCCCACAAACCTGCAAAAGAAGCTCAAATCATTTCTGCTGACATTTTCGACTTTGCACCCCAGCATGGAAAGCAAATTACCTGTTTTTCTTTTGATTCCCTCCTGGCTCAGCTTTGCGTGCGCGACCCGGCGGGAACGCAAACAAAAACGTCTTCCTCTCTGCTGTCCCCAAACGCGTGTGAGCAGGTCTCGACACTGCCCTCCTCGCTGTGGCTCTGTGCGAGTCTGCCTACCGTTGTCTTTCACTCTTCCTTCCTTTTTGTCGCTCCTTTCACCAAATAGTGAAAGCCCCGACAGGAACCAGAAGAGCTGACAAAGGCGGAATTCCTCCCTTCTTTTGTTTTTGTTTTTTTGTTGGTGTTCTAAGTGACAGTCACGGGAAATCACAAGAAATCCATATTACAAATGCATTGGGATCTTCGGTGAGCCTCGAGCGAGTCGGTTTAAGCGCAGGTCAAACATTGTCTGTTGGCATTCTGAAAAGAATTTCCAAAGAGGTTGTTCAGCAATTTTTTTTTTTTTTTTTAGGTGTCTCGGGCCGCCTGCCCACCTGTCTGCTGCTACTGCCGTCTGTTGCAGGTGTGTGCGCGCGCATGTGTGACAACACAAAGGTCAGCGACACTGTACACTTCCTTATTCGCAGCTCAATACTGAGTGTGAGTGTGTGTGTGTGTGTGTGTGTGTGTGTGTGTGTCCCCGTATGCAAAATCGTTTCAACACAAAAACTGACAGGAGTTTCCCACCATAATGCAACACTTGCATCAAAAGGGAGGACATGTTATGTGCAGCTGACATGCGTTCGTTCTCTGGCTGTAATATCAGAGTGGATATAAAAAGTGTACACACCCCTGTTCAAATGCCAGTATTTTCACGACAGGAAAAAAATTCACCATCACGATCGAGCTTTTCAAAACGTTGTCCACTATTAATGTGGTCTACAACCTGGACAACTCAATTGAATTTTGTCCCCCCCCCCCCCCCCCCCCATCACACGTCGACGCAGACCGGGACGAGATTGAAAACAACTCAAATAAGAAGGTTGCGCAAGTGTGCACACTCTCCTTATGGCTGGAATGTGGCGGTGTTGGGAATGAACCAATCACATTCAAACTCATGTTCAAGGGGAGTTAGCTCACATCCGCCGCCATTGAATGGGCCTCCGCTCAATCTCAAATCAAATTCAGCTGCTCTCGTAGGCTTGTCCTGACATCTTTGTCGTCACATCTTACAGCAGAGGTCATGGTCCGCTGAGCTTCTTATCATCATACAATCCAAGGTATTAAACATACAGACGTATTAACGGAACACAGTGAAAACAAAATAAAACACACATATATGTGTTTTTTTTACATGTACATGTTTAAGGCCAAACATGGGACAAAACATAAGGCAGAAAACATTCAGCCATTTCCAGGGTACAACAAGAATTATATAATATTCCCTCATGTTTTTTTGTTTGTTTTGGTCTGATTATTCACCATATTAGATAAAATTCACAAGAGTGACCTCTTGTATGCCAAATAACGAGACAGCATGGAGGTAGCTCAACTGCTTTGTCCCTTGGTTAAAATGAATAATATCATAATAATAATTTGGAAACAATATTTTTGTATTTTACTGTAAGGCTCGCCTTTTAAAAACCTTGTGGTCCCCATAACGCGGAATAGATCTCCAAATAACACACAGCGCACACCATGACCAAGAGGAATGGGCAAAGTCAGGCCATCCAAGCATGAAGCATCACAATCAAAAAGACTCGCGGCGAAACAATTTCCAAGCGCATCTTTTTATCTTTGCCGTGACATTTGCAAAGATGTTGTCGACTAACAATCACATGATCTCCTGCTGCCGATGACCTACTAACACGCGGCAGAGAGAAAAGTAGCGGCCTTACTATGAGGACCCAAACGCGGCACGTAATATAGGAACTTGGAAACAGACAAAGACACATTTGTCTACTCACCCACGTCATTCTTGTTCCTCTTCACACGGCAGCGAGACCGGCTTTGTGGACTTTTCTGCAGGAAATGATGAATTGAGAATTTGAGATCACGTTGAACTAAACCTCAGGACT